CGGTTGGTGCGGTGGCTGGGCAACTGGCTGCCGTGCAACGTGTCGCGGGTTCGATTCCCGCACGGAACAACTCTTTGTGTGATCCACAAATTGTTGTTCCGGGTCTGGGTGTGATGTGTATGTGAATTTGTATGTTTGTAAATGCACCCACGACACAGAAGAAAATCATATTGTGGGGCAACGTTTTTAAGAAAAAAAACTTTTTCATAAATAGAATTCTAAACACTTGATTCAATAAGACTACCTTGGATATTATCTTTTGTGAAAAATGAAATTAAATAATGTAGTCTAGGAGCCATTCTGTCTGCATTTGTATCAAAGTTTAACATAACAATAGTATCTTTATTCCTCTCCATTACTACCACTATGTAGACTACAGAGGTTTCAAAGGAAAGTAGGTTTTTACACAACATCAATATTCATGAGATCTGAGACATTTCTATTTCGGGATTGTAAGGAACTTTATGTTTCAAATAATGCTCTGTTTCTTTTTATGTTTTTTTATGTTTAAGTTATAGGTTTAAAGTCTGTTGTCTATATCATTGAGCGTATCTTTACTTAGGTAGGTACAGGAGATGTAGCACTAGCTTCTGTCTGTAGGTTATCATATTCAGAATAGCAGTAAGTTATGTATTTATTTATAAATTTAATAAATCTAATCTAAACTAATACTATACATGCGAAAGTATGTATGTCTGTCTGTCTTTTCTTCACGTCTAAACTACTGAACCGATTTCTGTGAAATTTGGTACAAACATAGTTTGGAATTCGAAAAAGGACATAGGATAGTTTTTATAACAAAAATCTGCAGGAAGTCACTATTTCACGCGAACGGATTCGCGGGCAAAAGCTAGTTACCTATAAACGACATATCAACAATCTATACACTAAATATAATCACCCAAAACACATTAACTGGTTCAAAACAGGTAACTTAATTACCGATTAAATTCAAAGTGGGTAACTTAATTACCGATGTAATAAAACATGAAATACAAAAATCAACGAACAAAGTAATAACAATGTTAGGATCATTATTTGATTACAAAAAACCTAAACTTTGCCATACAAAAATTAAAATAAAGTTATTAACAATACAATAATACGCGTAGTTCAAAACAGAGAAGAGTCAGTTCAAATTGGATTCTTCGCCAGTTTTGCAAGCAAAAGTAAGCTGTACGTACTCAGACAAAAGGTGCAAAGGGTTGAGAGATTCGCTTCCCGAATGGAAGAGCTCTACGTGAGCTCCGCAAATTAATGTTCTGGGTCTGGGTGTGATGTGTATGTAAGTAAAAATAATAATCAAAACAGTACAGTAAGAAATTGGTATACGTGCTGTGATGCTTGTGCAACCCACATTAAAAAAAAATAGTTCGGAAACCAGATGTTTAAACTGATGTTTAGGTATTAAACAAAAAATTGTTCACCTTTAGATATTAAACAAAAAATCTTTCACGATTGGGTCAACTCGACCTCGATCGGAGTGATACCACGGCCTCACAGAGAACCGGCGTGAAATATACACTGCGTGGTGTTTCGCCGTGTGAGTGAGGTTACCAGAGGCCTAATCTTTCCCCTCCCCCAATCCCTCCTCAATCCCTAAATTTCCAAATCCCTAATTCCTAAAAGGTCGGCAACGCACTCGTAACTCCTCTGTTGCAAGTGTCCATGGGCGGCGCTGATTGCTTACCATCAGGTAATCCGTATGCTCGTTTGCCGACCTATTACATAAAAAAAACCTTGAACAAAATCTTGGTTAACAACAATCACGTAAAAGAGTCGTAATTAGAATCACTGAAAAAAGAGACAGCCTTTACAGCCAATACAAACTAATCTTCACTATTTTGGAAACACAAACCTTAACCAAGCTTCCACAGAACTAAACTAGGATCGTATTCTTGTGGACCACAGAACAACCACACGTGACGCATATTAATTTAACTTTTAATGAGAGAGCCTAAATTCTGAAGACATTGCAACTGAGTTAATTAAGTTTGTTCTAAAGAACTTGTTCAGTACACACAATGTGAGAATGATGGACGAATTATGAACAGGGAATCTTAATGAGAATTGCAATGTGGTGCCTGTCTCTTTTGTTTTGCTAGTTAACAAAAATATATTTATAATATGTCGCAAGTTTTTGGTCGTTCTAGTAATTAAGTGACTTTAGTGTGGGAGAGCCATGCTTCGGCACGAATGGGTCGGCTCGACCGGAGCGTTACCTCACAGAAAACCGGCCTGAAACAACCACAGCGTTGTGTTTCGCCATATGAGTGAGGTTACCGGAGGCCCAATCCTTCCCCTTCCCCAATCCCTCCCCAGTCCCTAAATCTGCAAATCTCTTATCCCTAAAAGGTCGGCAACGCACTCGTAATTCCTCCGGTGCGGTGCTGATTGCTTACTATCAGGTTATCCGTCTTCCGACCTACTAGATACACAAAGTAGTTCTTTAGGTACATTAATTGACATAATTTTGGAATAACTGTTCGATGATTGTGTGGCTATGCCACTTTGTGTTAATGCTGACAAAGGTATTGAAAATGTTATGGGTGTGTTTACAAACATACAATTTCACATACACACAACACCCAGACTCGGAACAACAATTTTTAGAGCACACAAAGAGTTTTTCCCTAAGGGAATCGAACCGGCGACACGTTGTGCGGCAGCCAAAACCGCACTGCATGACACATCAGTGCGTTTTTTTGTATTACTTATAATAATTGCGAATTTGTCTAGATTACTTTAAAAACTCTATAATACTACATAGTTAAAGAACACAAACAAACCGACATATAAAGCATTCAATTTATCAATTTACCTATTTTCCGAACTTCAAATGAAATTGAAAACAAAGTTCAGTGTTTTTTTATCACGAAATGAATTGCGTATTTTCATTTCGTTTGATCGCAAGCTAAACGGAAAGCCACTTTTTGTCGAAAACTTTCCGCCAACTTAAACTAAACAATAAAAATAAAAGTTGGACGTTGGAATGAAAAGAAATTCGTCTTGGGGACGTCAAAGAATAAAACGAACGATAGGCAGGCGTTGAGTACCTTCTTAACTGAGCCTGCCCTTTGTATAAGTCCTTACAATTAACTTGAAGTACAACATCTTCAGACTTGCTCGATTGTTATCTCCCAACTTTGAAGAAGTGGCCCGGTCGGAAGATCAAAGATTAAATAACAAATATGTCTACCGCCAGTTCTTAACGTTTCATTAGATTTATTGCCCTCTTAAACAAACATGTGGATATCATTTCGTAAACAAGATATTTAGAAAATTAAACAAAAGATGGTCCAAAAGTTTCTATTTCTCACATTTTGTTTTATGAATAACCTAGAGACGTCAGTCGAAGTTGTATGGTCTTGCCCTAATCAGTTTTATACCAAAACTTCAAATATTATAAAATTGTTAATTAGATTTGAAAGTTAGGTTTTTGAGTTCGTTCATGCAAATGATACTGACAGAAGCTCCACAGTGATCTTTGTTCTATAATGTAAATGGTTTACAAAAACCATTATTTTCTCTCGATAATTTACGAGAAAAAAAAGAACACCACCTTTCTGACCTTTGGATTACCGGCAAAAATCCTAATGGCCCAATATTTTCATAACACCCTAATTTATCTGGAAAAATCTAATTAGGTGAACATCTTATATAATTATCGGCTATCCTACGTAAGGGAGTAATCACGTTGACACTTCAATATTGTCTCTAAATATACGGTGAGGCCGGCCTCGACCAGTCGACAATAATTTTCTATTTACGGCCTATAAAGGCTTTCATTTCTAGCCACTTGTTATTGGAAAATCGTTCTTGACGTCCCCAATGTAATCTCTAGCTGTTTGAGTAAATAAAGCACTGATTTATATCATTGCCTTTGCGATACAGAAATGTGTTATTTATGTATTCTGTGCTGACTTTGTAACGTTATTCGTTTCATAATGGGTTTTATTATGATGTTAATTGCTTTAAAGTTCAAATTTGCGGAGCAGTGTTTAAGACTTTAATGACACACACTAAATGTTAGAACTTAATGTCTATGTATAACAATATTATGAGGTAGTTTGGTAAATGTGCAGGTGCTGGTTGCATAGATACTTGCAACCTTGAAGAGTTATAAGCGCTCGACCCTTTGGGGGTTAGGGATTTGAAGATAGGGGAGATATGGTTGGGAAGATGTGGGAATGATTTGGCTTACGTTAACCTCAAGCCGCACTATCCACACCGAAGCACTCACTAGCTTGGCTCCGCACTCCATTTAATGGTTGTAATATTTATGTAATCTCAATATTGCTTACAATTCATAAAAAAAATCTTATAAAAATATTTATTATTACTGCTATAAAAATTAAAGACATAAAAAACGTTTATAATCTAAATGGTATTGGTACATTGTAAATTATTTCAAATACAAAAACACCTGTTGTGGAAACAATAACCACCGAACTTGCAGTTTAGATTGCATATAACCTTAATGCACGTTGATCGACGAACACGCGACACCAATTTCTCTGAAAAAAAAAAAATTAAGACACATAATGAGTTAATTTTTCTTGCTAACTTCAAAAATGTTCTTTGGGATGTTCGTGTTATGTTAAAGTCAGGAAAAATAAAAAAAAAGTGTCAGTTTGCGAATAACAATTTTTTTGGAGCGAAGGACAAATAGGTCTAGTAAGCTGGGATCCATGTACCAATGTAAAACAGTACACAGTTATAGTTCTATATAAAAATGTCGATTACCCTTAACACGTATTATAGGTATTATAACACTTGAAATCCTTGAAGGCATAAAAAACCCATCTCTTCGAAGATAGGAAGACTACAAATGCTGTAGTCGTCCCTCGTAACGTATCAATGCTACAACACTGTGTTATGTAAATGTATTACATATGTAAGAGTGAGTGTGTGGGCACACAAGTTCTCTGCTTGCGTGTCGGTTATCGACTGACACAACAGAGATACCCGCCCTCTATAGTTTGTTCTCTACATAAATAGTACACTGTATGACACAGAGATGGCACTGTTATATAAAATGCGGCAAAATTACAAAAACCAAATAAAATACCAACTTTTAATAAATTTATTTACGAGTTCCAGGTTTTATGAAGTTAGTATTTTTGAACGTCTTAATTGAGTAGCATAAAATCATAAAGGAAACAAAAAGGTATGTATTTATATATATTTATTTTAAAATATTGTATAGATTATAAACAATATACAATTAAAGTAATACTGAACACTTCATTAGTAAAGAAATAAGCAATATTTTTACAATAAGTACATATAAAAAATCTTAAAAGAAATCTTTAACTTACATAATGAAAAGGTACAAAAATATTGACTATTGTAAATTAAATGCATAACATAGAAAGTTGCTGGAGGTAGATCGCATCCAAACCGACCGAGTTCCAAGTCACCAAGAGATGGCGTCGTTCAATACAGTAATGCATTATTTACAAACAAATGCATATGTCTATCCAACAAAAGCTGGGGCCACCGAAGAACTCGCACTTCTTCTTGCATGCTTTTTTTGTACACGTACCCTGATGAGCGCGCGACATTAATTTACCTGAAAAAATAAAGACATTTTAATAATTGCTGATACTGATGTACCTGTCAATAATTGATAAATAAGTATTCAAATAAATACTTCTATTCTACACTATGGATCTCTGGTCTGAAATAAAGAATTTAATTTTATAAAAAAATTAAAACTACTTACTTACAAAAATGTGGCAAAAAATATCGTAATAAAAAAAATAATTGCTTATTTTTTACCTTTTTCAGTTGTGTTGTTGTCTTGGTTGAGTTTTGCTTCCTCTTCGCCGGCGGCTTTGTACATTGGAGGGGCTGTAAATAAAACTCATCAATTATATTAAATGTCCTTAAAAAAAATACGTATGTCCTTGTGTTTTTCAGTTTGTATTAGTTTTGTAATTATTTGTCAAGGGAAAAGGATAGGAGGTAAAAGAAAATAAATGTATTTCGTTACAAAATTTTAATCAAATATTTATTTACCTATACACAATTAAGTGCAAAACTGTAAATTATACAAATAAAAAACACGAAAAATTGAAGTGAAAAACAGCGATTTGAAAAAGTCATTTGAAACAGTGAATTATAAAGTAAGTAGGTAGACCACAACATTTTTCCAATTCACTACTACAAAATACACATAAATTGAAAAAATAGAAGATAAATCACTCAGTAACAAAAGCAAATGCCAAGGAAACAAAAACCACGAGCATCAATAAAACCACATCTGTCCTCGCACATACTTGGACTGCACGATTCACGACGAAAACGCGAAATTACTTTATCTGCAAAAAAAAAAAATCAAAATTATTACCTAAGTACAAGAGGTAATGAATAGACTGTTTCCCACCCGTTTATTTCATCAGTTATCTTAACTTTTGAACTTCTGGGTTGCGGGGTAAGTGCAATATATGAGGCACCGCGACTTCGGCCCAGAGCAAAAGAACCAGGGGGATTTTTAGTCAGCAATAGTCTGACACTCCCTCCCGCCCAACGTTGGGCGGGAGAAGACATTTGATGATTTTCCCCTCACAAAAAAAAAACATAACTGATGAATATAAGATTCATGTTAAGCAGAGCTAGCAGAGCTAATCGGGAATCATGTACTAGATTTTCGCCTAGCTCTAGCTGGCTCACAACGTCGAAACAGAAACAATGAAAATAGATTTTTTTTTTAATAATGTGCTTAGTCATGCTTCGGCTCAAATAGGCCGACTCGACCGGAGTGATAGATACTACTGCTTCATAGAAGATTTGCGTGAAACAACACTGGCTTTGGCTGTAGTTGTGTTAGCGAGGTTACCGGTTACACAATCCACCTTTATTAATATACCTACTTCCCATAAGGTCGGTATCACACCGACTTTTGACTCCTGGATATTGAGGGTGCGTATGTCCATAGGCGATGTAGTTGTTGCTTACCATAACTTTATTTAAAAAAATAAAAAATAATATTTTTATTTACCTTTTCCATAAGTGTCTTCTTTGGATTCTTCTTTTTCTTCGTCTGACTTGATTTGTGAGACTGCAAAAATAACTTTTTGTGCTTAACTTTGAGCGTGTTAATGGGAAAAAAATATTTTCTTCGTATTTAAATACTTACATAACATAATTTATAAAAATTATATTACATTAACATAATTATACATTATTATTTTACGAAATATTTATACATATAAATTATGTTTTAAAAACTACCGAGAAATCCACAAGAGATCCTAAGATTTTTATGGTCGCGCAGTACTTAAGAAAAAGTGGAAACTTGTTTAAAATATAAACAAATTGTCAAGTTTTGTTTTCGATGGAATAAAACTGTTTTCGCAAAAATATTTTCTTTTTTAAGATATAAGATATAAGATAAAAAATAAATTTATATTATTGAGTGAAATAAATGTACGTTAATAAAATTATGTTTTACCTTTTTCTGTAGCGGCGTCCAAGCTAATAACTTTTTCTTTTTCTGTAGAATTCTCTAGGACAGATCGAGCTAGAAACAGGAAAAAGAGTACAGTTAGTGATAATAAAATGACCGCAAATGATTATTACTTAAGGATGTAGGATGCTAAAATAGCACCACAATACAATATCACCAGGACAGAAATTGTGGCGAGAGAAGAGAGACTTGAAATTGGCGATTTGAATAATAATGTATCATGGGCTATCAACATTACTTTTTGAGACTTGGAGTTTCACGAATTCGCATCTATAGTCATTAAAACAAAATCCATAGCGAAAATTGCGTCTGTTACACGCTCGTTGACAAGCAATTCTGAAAAACAGTTAGCTCTGATTAAATGGAGCGAATATAGTTCCATGTGTTCAGCTACTGGTGTTTGTAGAATGAGAATTACAAAAGGAAAATATCATAGATAAAATGCCATCACCATGTTTAACAAAACATGAACATTGCAGAAGGTAGAAGTAGTTCACAAAGAGATAATACTGAATGTTGGAATACCATTACCATCTGAGAAAAACATGTAGGTATAACAGATAAATTACAAGGTGTCCTTCACCAAAAAGAAAATACCTCTCTGGCGATTAGCTACTATACCAGGCACAAGGGCACTACTAGTAGTGAGTAGTAAGGAAACTTGCAATATTAGACAAGCTTTATAGCAAAACACCAGATAAAAATAATATTGTTAGTGGTAACATACCAACTATGGAATTGTTAAATGTTTTGATTAACAAAGACTGTTTCACAATACCTGACTTTTTGGGCGGACCATAGCACCAGCATTTCCCGTTTTTGCAGTTGCCCCCTTCGTATTCCAATGAACGACACATGCGGTTGCAAACGCGTTTCGTACATACGACTTTTTTAAGGTCTTCTGAGAATTGAGTTATAGGCGTATCATTGTCATCACGTTCAACTGGAACAAAATATGTACCTTTTCAGATGGGATTATTTTTATCATAGATAGATTTTATCGAAGACTCTACATCAGGTTATCTTAAAATTATTATTTTGGGTGGCCGAAAGTGATGTTAGAGGTACAACGACTTCTTTTCGGTTAATTATATTATCATTGTCATGTTATAAACAGATTTGAATAAGTTCCATTTGCTGTGGTTCTAGCACATATTTTTGAATTGTATTACCTCCGTCTTTGTAGCATTTGCATTGGTTATCTACACATTCGCCGCGGTGATACTTCAGTTTGCGACATATCAAGTCACACAGCCCTTGTCTGCATTTGCCGTGAGTATTATTCTTTGCTGGTTCCAGAACTGGTGCAGAATTCATTTGAACCAAACCTATTACAAGAGTTTTGCAGTTTTTATACTTAAAAATAAAAACTTTATTGGTTTCTTACAATTAGAATGATTGAATTTTTATGGGAAAAGTTTCAGTACAATAATATTTTACCTTCATTTTTGAAGCATTTACATTTGTTCTCGAGACATTCTCCACGATCGTACTTCAGTTTGCGACAGATTAAATCACACAATTCTGGTTTGCATTTACTGTGAGTGACATTCTTCGCCGGTTCCTCAACGGGTGCAGAGTTGGCATCACCTATTAGAAAACCACTAAGTTATCAAGTTGTCCTTAAATATAAGTCTACTTCAGGTTATTAAACAGTTTTATGGTTCAATGGAGGAATAAGAAGACTTGTATGTCTTTTGTCTTTGTCATTCAACAAAGATATTTGTATGAAGATTACAATAAATATTTCATTGCAAAACTTAAATATAGTTAAATATGTTATTAAATATTGCTGTATTAAAATTACACAATACCTGATGTGAATTCGGGGATGTCAGGGTTAAATGTTTCCACTAAAGGAAAAAAGATTATATTAGATCCAGTTCAGATGAAGATGATCAAATTACAAGAAGAAAAATATATAACTGAGTTAAGTGAGTAGTAGGTTGTAGTAATTTAGGTATAAGTCTTTTGAAAGAATGTAAGAGTCAAATTAGACACTACTACTACTACTACTATGGGATTATATTATAAAGTGGTTGGTGGTCCTTGTGTCTTAGCTACTGCTGTATAAGAAATCGCTAAACGTTACCATTTTTTTCGAGAGAAGCGTTGCACTGGCAGATACCACGGACACAAGCACCACCCGGAAAGCCAATTTTGCGACATTGTTGATCACATTCATCTGGTATGCAAACTAAATCTTTTGGTGCTTCAGCTGAGACGTTAATGCCATCTGACAGACATAAAATATCGAAATTAAAGCTCATGCTCACACCAAAATTTTTAATTCAACGTACCATTTCGATTTAATGAAGGAAAAGATTAGTGTGGACGTGTTTTCGTAGGAACACAGGATTATTAAAGTGTTTTTTTTGGTCTTGACATATAATTTACAGTTAATGAAACTTAAATTTTTGTATGTCCATACCTTGCTCACTGAAGAACTTGTCACATTTGCAGCGACCGTTCACACAGGCACCACCGGGCAGTTTGAGTCTATGGCAGTGTTGCTCGCAGGCGGAAAGGCTGCAACTGCTTCTGTCAGCTACTTCAGCCTCAGATAAGTGCTCGTCTAAAATAACATCAATCCCATCAGATGTGGCAATACCAGCAGACTATCAAAGCTAATCAATAATCTAGCTATGTAAAATACTGAGCTATTGTTAAACTGAATGTAGTCCTTTATCTAGTTGGGGTTTAGCGAAAGATGTATTATACAATTCTTTGAGTGTATCGGTTTATAAGCCTTTAAGGTTTGAAATTTAAAGTAATGTTAATATTATGTTCATACCTTCAAGCGAAGAGAATGCTTCTAAGTCTAAGGGCGATAGTTCTAAAACCGCTTCTGAAATAAAGGTTATTATTTTACAAAACGGGATGGAAATACCAAAAATATTACAAAGTGGATAAAATCATTATATATAAGTGTTACAAATTAGAATGTTTTGATTGTATGTACCTTCAGAGCTACGGAAATTGTCACATTTGCAGCGACCGTTAACGCAAGCACCACCGGGGAACTTGAGTCTACGGCAGAGCTGGTTACAGGCGGTGGGGTTGCAGTTCTTGTAAGAGATCTCATTTTCTATTTCATCTGAAGTAAGTAATATTTATTTATTTTATGTGTTATACAAACTAGCGCGTTGGCGCAATTAACATCGTGGTATAATATAAAAAAATAAGCTGTCTTATAAACTAGTAGATAATGAAAAGTATGTAAAATGTCTATAGATGTCGTAAATGGGAGTGTGGTTGTTCGGCTATTCGTACCTTGTTCACTAAAGAACTTGTCACACTTGCAGCGACCGTTCACACAGGCACCACCGGGCAACTTGAGTCTATGGCAGTATTGCTCGCAGGCAGAAAGGCTGCAACTGCTTCTGTCAGCTACTTCAGCCTCAGATAGGGGTTCGTCTAAAATATTTACATCATCAACTAACCGGTTATTATAAGAGAAGGCTAGCTAAAAACCTTGTAAAGGGCTCGGAGACATATTTATAAATATAATGGTGGGTCTGATGTAAAAATCATAAAAGGTGGTTCGGTTCATACCTTCGAGTGTAGAGAATGCTTCTAAGTCAGAAAGTGATAATTCTAAAACTGCTTCTGAAACGAATTTTTCTATTAATTCTTAATCTTGATGAAATAAGGACAAAGAAAAGTGAGACTTCTAAGGAAAATAAGAAAGGTACCTTCAGAGCTACGGAAAATGTCACATTTGCAGCGACCGTTAACGCAAGCACCACCGGGGAACTTGAGTCTACGGCAGAGCTGGTCACAGGCGGTGGGGTTGCAATCTTTGTAAGAGATCTCATTTTCTAATTCATCTGTAATAAATACATAATACATAAAGTCAGCTAGACTGTAGTAATAATGGTCGGTCGTTCATCTTCGACTAAACTTTGGGGTACCAATTTGTTTATTTTTTTATTCACTTCCATTAATATTAAACCATAAATAGAGAACATATTAAAAGAAACCATGAAGCCTACAAAACATGTAGAAATAAATTGTATTAAAGTGGAATTGAAAATGAAATCGTTGAAACATCTCTCACCTTGCTCTTCAAACAACTTGTCACACTGGCAGCGACCGTTCACACAGGCACCACCGGGATGCTGGAGACTATGGCAGATTATCTCGCAGGCAGAAGGGCGACATCTGCTTCTGTCACCTGCTTCATCCTCTGATAGGGGTTCATCTAAAAGAAATCGAACAAAACTTAGTTCCATCAAAAAATAATGTGTAAGATTTTATAGGTTTCAGTTAGAATATTTGGTGACTCAATTGGATATTAAAACTATTTTTAGGGCAGATTTCCAATAGTCAGATAAATTTTGTCTGAGGAATAAATTTTTTGCTGTCACTGTTTTATACAAACATTCTGATTATACAAACATCATAATTATTCCCCAGAAAACTTTTATCTAACCATTGAAAAATCAGCCCTTTGTTATATAAACTATAACTATTTAAGTACCTTCTAATGTAGAGAATGCTTCCAAGTCAGAGGGTGACAATTCTGAAACTCCTTCTGCAACAAAATAATGAAAACGTTTAATCATGATTCAATTATAAAAAAGCAATTTTAGGGTCCCATTTTCTTTAGGCGCCAATATAGGGTTTGACATGCAACATTCCACTACATCTTTGAAGTATTATAATTGGTATATGCGAATTTTATGAAATTATCATAGTTTTAACAATTCATCGAGAATACCAGGTAAGATTGAGGATTTAATATTTGTTTGTAATAAATATCATCCGCATGTCGAAAATGGTCACATTTGCACAGCCCATTCACACAGGCGTTGCCAGTTCGGTTTCAGAACAAGTAAACCATTTCTAATGACTTTTATGTTTTATTTTAACTTTCAAATTCTCTAAACAACTGTTGTTTGATTTACATACGTACGTACATGATTTTGGGCATGTAAACTAAAGATGAAGACCAAAATTTTTAAAGCCTGTTTAGTAAAATAGGTTCGGATCTAGACTAACGATTAACCTTGTTAGTCTTAATGTATTAGATTGATATAAGATTGATATAGCATCTAAAAATTTTTTTTATATTATAGATTTTCTTACCATTTTCGCTGAAGAAGTTGTCGCACTTGCAACGTCCGTTGACGCAAGCCCCACCGGGGAACTTAAGTCTACGGCAGAGCTGGTCACAGGCGGTGGGGTTGCAATCTTTGTCTTTACTTAATACTCCAACATTGGGATCATCTGTTCGAAAATTAGAAATTGTATTTATTAAATAAACACATTCTGGATTACTTAATTCAATTGGCCGACGTACATAATAGATCTAGTAGCCAGTTAATGCACACATTAAAATTTTCTAAAATTGAATAATTCGTAGATCGGTTACCAAGAAATACCTCATATATTTGAAACTCGAATCCGAATCATGATAATGATGTTGATTTATAAAATGTTAGCTCAAATGAGTAATCGCAAAAATAGGCAAAATATTTCAAACGGAAAATATTTGTCTGCTAATTAAAATGCCAATATTAAAAAAATCTATATCAACGCCTAAAAACGAACTCTAAAAACAAAACCACAAAAAATAATTACCATCGAAAAAGTTGACGACCACAGAAGCGTTCGCGACACACAATGTCGCTAAGACAATTATAAATTTGGAGTACATTGTTGTCTTAAATACACTAGTACTTCATCCAATGAAGGCCGATACTAGTACTGCATGGTTACACCTTTTTGCGGTTAGTATATATAGAGGGCGGTTGCGACACAGGGACTTCACATAACCGAGGGATATTTTATTAGTCATTAGTTCATACATATTCTTTGTTGGTGGTAGAGATAAGTAATTATTGCATTGCAATACGATTGATTAAAAGGATTACGAAGAAAGTTTTTTGCGCAAGATGGACGTTATCAGATTCAATATGGGAACTTTGATAAAGTTATCAGGGTGATTGGAATGTGTTTGTAAATAGCAAAAGAAACTACTTGTGTAGTTGAAGATGTGATTATTCTTAAATTTTAAACGTGAGAAGAAGATTAATTAAAATACTCCAAATGATATGATAGTGGTATTCCATCAAGCAGGGCAAATCTTATCTTGACAGTATTTAACTTGGATTACTCATCATCTGTGTCGCAGCTTCAATTTTTTGGAAAGGAAAATTTGTTTCAATGACTGGAAAACCTTTAGTCTAGGTTTGAGCATAAGACAGAGGGAGAGTTGTATTTTTACCTAACTTGAACTAACCTTGACAAGGACTTTCGTTGACTTTGCTTATAAGTTGTGGTTTGTCATTTGGAACGGAGACTAAATAGAGCGAATAGAGGGGTGTAAATAAGGAAGAATACAAGGACATCATCTTAATGGTCTTTTAGTAAACGGACCTTATAAAATTAGGGACATCCAGATCGATTGTGGATCGTCTGGGAAATACTACTTTCAAGACCCCAAGCGAACGCCTACTTATTACGCACACTTATTGTTCTCCTATTGTGTCTCGAATTACCACGATTGAAAGGTTAAAAGAAAAAAATGGAGGGGAATGGTAAGGGTGGTTAGTAGTTACTAAGCACATTCTATGATCACGACCACGCTGTCAACATTGTACGACTAAGAAGTGTGGGAGAGCCGTGCTTCGTCACGAATGGGTCGTCTCAATCGGAGTGATACTTCGGCCTCACAGAAATTCGGCGTGAAACAACCACATCGTTGTGTTTGCCGTGTGAGTGAGGTCCCTAAATATCCAAATCACCAATCCCCAAAAGGTCGACAACGAACTCCTAACCACTCTGTTGTTGCGGGCGGTGCTGATTGCTTACCATCAGGTAATCTGTCTGCTCGTTTGCCGTCATATCACACAAAAAAAGAAGTATCAGTGGTCTCTATCATTGGGGTCGCGGGAGTGAGTGCTGCGGCACCGGCCCAGACCAGGAGAAGGAAAAGGGTGGCGTTAAATTCATACTCCTTGCCCCACCAAGAGACATTTTATGAAACAATGAATTTATTTTAGCAAATAGGCCATAAAACAGCGACTTGTACACGTCAAATTATATGTAAAAAACTATGTGGATGAAGCCGGCATTTCCTATCTGACTACTCTGAGAAGAAATGCCGAAACAAACTCAGAGGTCAGTCTCTTTTCAAGTCCAGAAAATCTAAAACTAACATGTGTAATGTGAGAGAATGATTTTTCCCCTAAAAAAAGAGGTCATAATCCAAACTTATAAAAAATCATCCGATCTGTATATACCCTTTTAAATTATATGTAATTCTATATTGCCTAAAAAGTTTCTAATATCATTGTTTTAATGTATTTAAAATACTACTACATATACGCTTTATCTGCATACTTAGGTACGTTTCCTACTTATCTATATACATATATTTTAAATACAAAACTTCGAGAATATATGTCAATTATGTTGCGATAAGAAAATAATTGCGTGCAATGAATTGCTTGTATTTATAAATATTTAGTTATTGAATACAATAATATCAGGTCAAGGTTATATTAATACGGTATACATATTTTTCACCGTTTAAATACCTCTTTTGTCCTTTAACATGAATACATCTAGTCATACACATTTTTTATCACATTTTGTTCACCAAATAGTTGTGTTAGTAATCCCACTGTATAGGAGAATAACTCACTTCCAAATATTTAGAATAAATTTTCAGAATTAGAGATAAAATGTGACAAGTGTGGGAGAGCCATTCTTCGGCAAAATTAGGCCGGCTTGACCGGAGTGATACCACGGCCTCATCGAAAACCGTTGTAAAGCAACATTTATTTGTGTATTGCCATGTGGGTAAGGTTACCGGAGTAACAATCTTTCGCTCGCCGATCCCCAATCCTCATATCTCCTATCCTTAAATCCTCAATGACCCACATGAGGTCTTGTAGTCACTCTTTTGGTATCACGAGTGTTCATAGGCAGCGCTGATTGCTTACCAGCAGGCTTATAACATTAAAAAGCGAATAACAGCCTTACATTGTAAATGGGTGTTTGACGAGTAAAATAACTCTCGAACTGTATACAAAAAAAGTTATCACAAAGAACACAAAAACGGGTTTTCCTGCTTTTAAAAAAATATGTAAATATTTTTACATTTTGCCGCGAGGCGGCGCTTTTAGCAGACTGAAGTTGCCACCAGTCAATAGCATGAGTCGATCGGATCGTCTCATTAGTTCGATGAAGCTGTACAAATAATAAAACACAATCGAATTTACTGCACAATGTGTATGAAATACCCAGTGGAATTGTTTTCGATTAACCACGATTTAGTTTAAACAATGAGAGTGAAGTTTTTTAGTTTATTTATCATTGTTCTTGTGATATTAGCTTTAAGTATACAAGGTTTGTACAAAACTAGTTTTTTGTTGACTCCTAATTTATTTATACGACATAATACTTATATTCTTTAATTGATTTCTGATTAATTGGTTCCAAGTCTTCGCACTTGATTTCGTTTTGAATATTTATAAATATTTAATTAATATTATAGATTTTTCATTGTTTAGGTAAAAATAGAGGTTACTTTTGTACATCGGTTAAAAAACTAACCGGTAAATAAAAGTGACCTCTATTTATATATGCGTAGCGTTAAAAATTATTCGTGTCTCTGAACTGGTAGTAGAAATAAAATCATTGAAATATTTTATTTAAATAGATAATTATTTATTTGTTTATCAGGTTTTAATACATTAATACGTCAAAGATAAGAAGTAAACAATATGGCCGTGAAATATGGTATATGACATAAGTACCTACATATATAACATTATGGCATATTAGCTAATGCCAGCGGTTTTTCCCGCGTTTCTAGTTTGTAAAGTACCTACTCTTTATGTTATCCCTGACTATATAATCTATATTCTCAGGAGTTTTATAGAATATAGGTAGTTCTCATAAACTTTCGCGATTGCAACATTAAAAGGATGAGTGCTTTTTATTCAAATCATATTATTAAAATGATCATTCAAAAACATTCTCGATAATTGTACGGTACAATTATCGAGAATGTAAACACTTAGGTACAATTTGTACCTAAGTGTTTTAAGTGAGAATTAGGTATTTGTTTTTGTACTGATATGAATATTTCAACCTTGATTCGGGCTAATAAATCTATCTAAGTAGAAGTTATTTGTTACGCAACGTTCTAAGTACCTAGTGTCATAAATGTTTTTTCCTGATTATCTAAGCAGACCGTTGAAATACAGGCCATCAATTCTATTAAAATAAAAACTTCTGCAGTCGATTTTCAACTGTTATCACAAGACATTATAGTTGAAATCATCAATAAATGCGAGACAGAATTGTACAGCTCGATGTGCTTGCGTTTGCGCATACACACACATCTATGCACATATTTAAATGTTTAAAGACAATCCCGTTCTTACTCCAAACTTTTGTACTGCTCAGTGTTCGAATGCAGGACAGTAGTTTTATTTCACGACCTTAACCAAATGGGTCGGTCATTGCTCTATATACTTAACCGGAAGACCGTCTGTTTGTATATTATATTGATAACATGAATTAAAACGTATATTCTAAGATAAGTAAGATTGGGTGTCATGTTTTTATAATAACTATCGTGAGACATACTAAATTAACTAAAATTCGCGGGTTACTCACGTAGTCAGCCGGCACGCAGTCAGGCGACGTCGCGCAGCCTACTCGGTAGGCTGCGCGACGTCGCCGCGTCCGCGCACGCTGCTCATGAGGAAGAACCCCTCTGTGGTTCGAAACTTGTAGAGCTTTTCTCAACATTTACACGTGAGTAACCCGCGAATTTTAGTTAATTGGGTGTCATGGTTGTCCAGAGGTTAAGGCACCAGTTTTCCCATGCACGAGGGTTCGGAACCCGACAACTACGTACTTTTTACTAGGTGGGTGTACTTCCTTAGATTAGTTAGAACTGGTGAAGAAAATATTATGAAAAAACATGGGCTTACGATTTCTGATTCTAAGTTTGAAATCGCAAATCTGCCTTGAGTACCTAAGCGTGGTGATAAATGCTTACTCTTCTGCGTGTGAGAAGAAATCTTCGATTTGCAGTGAACACCTTTAAGCTTTTTACTTAAAACCAATCGGAGTTAAATAAATTAAGGATAATCTGTAGGTAAGTGCCTCCTTAGACACCTTTCAAAGAAATATTTAAGTTGGGCAGCGTCTGTTTTTTTTTGTCTGATACGTCATTAAACCACAAAATCATACTTTAAACATTTGTCTGGTCTGGGATCGAATTCAGTATTTTTCACGTAGTCGTTTAGATTCTCAGTTATTTAGCAATTACGCTACTAAGGCGGCACAGGTCATCGTTCCACAAACTATATTCTGTTTGTATACTAGATCGGGTAACGTGAATTACAACGCGTGTTCTAATATTCGAGCTATTGGACGGACTCCATTTGTCCCAGTCAGTGTGACCGATGCATGGCGCATCTAGTTACAAGTAGGTCTGTGTAAAGGATATTGTCTGTTGATGTTAGAGTAATGTAATACTGTCTTTTATGTACTTTCATACCTTTTTTTTTTGTGAGGGGAAATTCATCAAATGACTTCTCCCGCCCAGGGCCGAGAAGGAGGGAGTGTCAGACTCTTACTGACTAAAAACCCCTCTGTTCCTTTTCCTGCTCTGTGCCGAGGTCGCGGTACCTCATTGCGCTTACCCCGCAACCCCGGATGAACATCAGCCCTTTAGGGCCCCGTCTGTGGTGGTCGAATGGCTCTTTGAGGCGCGCGCGGAACGCTACGCGCCGTACGCTCGGGCTACGCGCCGTACGCTCGGGTTCATCCCTTATTACATTGAAAACTGTTATGTCATAAATGTCATGTAAGTGAGCTTATTACCCTGCAAAATCCTAGACTTAGTACTGAGACATTTGGCTAAATCCACGAATAAAAGCCCCATTAGACATTCATTTAATGAAGAGAAAAAAATAATTATATTTATTTTGATCAGATTATTAATTCAAGACCTGTAAGTAGCTCGATGTTCACATGTGATAACTTGACCAACGAGGCAGTAGTTTAGATTTTCAAGTAAATTAAAAATTCAGGCTATTAATCAATAATGTAACTTTTATGATTGTTACCTAACAATCACCACACAGGGTATATCAAACCAGTTTATCATGGTCTAGCTATGTATAATTCGTTCCGCATATTCAACGGTAATTTCATACTGGATTTTATTTAAATATCGAATAACGAACGAATTAGTGTAGCAGCAGTTTAAGTTTTTACTTATTGTTGATATATAAGCGTCTCTACCTTTATTGTAATGACGTTACAGAATATAATAACCGTTTTGCATCTATAGTTAGAAAGATAGGTACTGTTAGCTACTTTACTGTTCATGAGCTGCTTAATTTTGCCACATTCTGGCACCGCAAAAATATTAAAAAAAGCATATATACGGTCAAATTGAGAACCTCCTCCTTTTTTGAAGCCGGTTAAAAAAGGAACCAGTTGTCTGGGCAACCAAAAAAACTAGTAAGACGATAAAGAATAGTGCTTAGCTTAATAAAAATGAGCCAGAAAACGGTAATCCTAGATCAGTTCCAATATCGTATAGTTTATTGTTAAGTATTGACTATCGTTTAGTATCGGGTATGCTAGCACTAGCATAGTCAATGCCATTATAAAAACTAGAATAAGCAACAATAAAATATAAATAGTTGAAGGAAAACAAAGATTACAACTTTATGAGGTAGCTTGTTAGACCGGTTTACGCATACTCCGCTGAGTATATTATACTCACAAACGAAAATATATGTACAACTCATAGTAAACAAGGAATTTTCATTATATAGGTATATTGTAGTATAATATGTATAACAGTTCTATAATTATTGGTATAGTTAGAAGAAACGTGATGGTTTTTAGGAGTGTCAGACTTTTATTAAAAGAGTTCCACCATGGATGAGGAAAGACATCTTCATTTGATGTTTAATTTGATTCCTATATCGGGTTAAGTAATAGTATATTTTTCGTTTTTTTATATTTTAGTGTAGTAGTAGTACGTAATGTGGAACCTACTGTGTATGACAAAAGGTTCACTGCCATTTTGTTTACAAAACTTTTTTGATAAAAAATGGTCACATTTAGTATGTGCAGTCGGCAACTCTACCTGTCGACTTAAATTTTGTGTTTAACGCTCAAGTCGGCCAAAGTAAAAATAATTTATTTAGTCATTATCGATTTCTTTATTTGTTAAGAGTTTTCTAGTAATTCTTCCTTTCATTTATTTAAATGTTGCCTGTTATATTATACGTTCCTACGACACAGGAGAAGATAGAAGAGAATATCATCATCATGATCAGCCTATAAGTGCCCACTGCTGAGCAAAGGCCACTTCTCATACGGAGAAGGTTAGAGCATTAATCACCACGCTTGCTCAATGCGGGTTAGCGATTTCAAACTTATAATTAGAAATTTTGAGTCCAGGTTTCCTCACGATGTTTACCTTCACCATACCTATGTCAGTGGTGTCTAAATAATCATAGAAAGTACATATAACTCGGAAAAAGTTACATTGATATAAGCCAGGTTTCGAACCCACACCCTCATGCATGAGAAGCGGGCTCCTTAACCTCCTGGCCACCACGGCATAATACAACAGGAGAATATAACGGGCATTTATAACCCACCTGCGTTAACAAACACAATTTGTGGATCACACAAAGAGTCATCAGGTTATTGTTCTGATGAATCACTGCAAGAGCTGTGCTGATTATCACTATAAGTAATTAGTCACAATATTTTTATTAATCACACTGTTTCTTCTCCGACCGATATCTCACTCTTATCAGTAATGTTTATCAATTTCCTCGAAGTATGTAATGGGTGTATATAAACGTTGGTCGTAGATAAATTAATCTTTTGATTGTTAAGAAATTATAATCTTGTTCAGGCAACTCCTTGTTTATTATCTTCTTTGTGCATCACCCAAAGATAAAAAACAGAGAAGCAGGTATATATATGTATAACGTATAAGAATGTAAAATAAAACGTCGTGGTGGCCCGGAGGTTAAGGATCCCCCTTCTCATACATGATGGTGTGGGTTCGAAACCTGGCAAGTACCAATGTAACTTTTTCCGAGTTATATGTACTTTCTATGATTATTTAGACACCACTGACATACGGTGAAGGTAAACATCATGAGGAAACCTGGACTTATAATTTCTAATTATAAGTTTGAAATCGCCAACCCGCATTGACCTTCTCCGTATGAGAAGAGGCGTTTGCTTAGCAGTGGGCACTTATAGGCTGATGATGAAACAGTTCAAAAGGTTTAGATTCTAAAAGGTTTTGTTAAAGATTTTTACTCTTTCTTTCCAGGGTCCAATGCAGCAGTGAAAAAGAAACGAACCTGTAGATATGACTGCACAGAGCTCTGTCAGCTTCAGGGTACAAGCCACGGGACCTGTCAAGGGTCGATATGCAAGTGTTCCTCTTTAAACACCGTAGTTGAACATATAAACGAGCATGAGACTTAAGTACAAATAAAAATTTGATTTCATCTTCTAAGTGTGTTTTATTTATATATAAATGGTATAGTCACGATGTCTTGGCAGATATTTCTAAATAATCTTGTTTTTAAAGAAAAAGTCTTGCGACACACAGCTAAGTATATTTTGTATATGTAAAAAGCACATAAAGAATACTAAGAACTAGGTGTGTGAATAGGACTGGAATAATTTGAAATGTATCTTCTTAACCATACGACCATGTTGTTATAATTTAGTTCTTACAAATAATTAGAAACACTCGTACTATCATTAAAGCTAAGCATTGTTGGTCCATTTTCATAATAGTCTTATTTACGACACCAATCAAAATTAGCTTAACTATTCTCTACAGAAAAGAAGTGCACCACCAACATTTATCGTCTTAGTTGCATCTCCCTGATTGGTTGTTGGATGCGACACTGCATTTTGATTGGCTGGCTGTCGTGACATGTTGCTAATACCCTCCATTACCCTCCATTTAGTTTCTGTGAATAATTAGCATACGACAAGGGTACTTCGGGAGTGTACACACGGTGTTTGATGTGCTCTCCTGCACCTGTACCCAGTTTATGTTCGCTAGTTATTGCTATTATAATAATATGCGCTGTAATCCTCGACGGGCTATGCACCAACATTTACGCTCCAGTCGCTACGGTTCACAGTAATTATGAGAGCATTAGACTTTTGGTTTATAGTAAATTCTTGGGGAAATATGAATTTGTTGTTATTATTTTTAAAATCCACGATTATATGAAGATATGATGTTCCATAAATAAACTGATGAAAAATGAGCAAAAAATCTCTCAAAAATATTAAAGATATGTTTTTTTATATAATATAGGCCAGCAAACAAGCAGACGGATTACCTGATGGTAAGCAATCAGCGCCGCCCATGGACACCCGCAATAACGGAAGAGCTATACGACGAGTGCGTTGCCGACCTTTTGGGAAATAGGTATTTTGAGATTTTGGGATTGGGGGAGGGACAGAATTGGGCCTCCGGTTACCTCAATCACATGGCGAAACACTGCGTTTCACGCCGGTTTTCTGTGAGGCCGTGGTATCACTCCGGTCGAGCCGAGTCATTCGTGAGGAAACAAAGCTCTTCCACACTTAAATTTAAAAGTAATTCCAATTCAAAAGCTGGATTTTAAGTAGGACTTCGACCTCGAATGTATCAAAACAATCAAGGGCTACCCATGAGCGATAGTCAAAGAACTTGCAAAGAATACTAAGGACCTTAACAGAATACCTAACTAAGTGAGTATCTAATTTGAGGGTGATCCGCCCGGGGCGGGAACTTACCAGTTACCAAGCATTTCCTACATTTACGTAGACAAACTTTTGGGCCGCTCTTTGCAAAGAATATTTATACAAGCCCTGAAGTTGTAGACGAGCGATCTAAAATTAGCCTACAAGGAAAATAAAGCTACACATGCAACCCACATTCTTGCTTGGTTACTAAGGTTTTTCTTGGCAGGAGAAAATCAAATGACCTCTCCAGCCCAGGGTAAGGCGGGAAAGAGTGTCAGACTCTTACTGACTAAAAACCCCCCGTTCCTTCTCCTGTTTTGGGCTGAGGCCGAGGTGCCACATTGCGCTTATCCCGCAACCACGGCAATTACAAAATATTGGCTATGGGATTGAGATTAGAGGATCATATTTTTTTGTAATACATGCATCCTGTTAATCGGACCGAAAAATTATACGGTTTTTTCTTATGATATGGTCTCCTGTCGCTCGTCTGGTGGGAACTTTTTGTTAATTTATTTACCAGTCACGTAAGGAGTTGATACTAAGGATAAAAATTACTTGTATTTACAACACGTGGCTTAATTGTTTCAAGGTGTGTATTGTTAGGCCGTCGATTTTCGTACGACGATAAAAATTGAATGCAGCGCTTGTAGCATTGTGAACAAAACGTTTGTGTTACCTATTAAAATTTTGTTAGGGCCCAATATAGCTAGTGTTGAGCCAGGATTGCGGGTCAAAAATTATAATATTACAAGCAAGTACATATTCAAGGGGGTCAAGCAATAATTACATCGGCTCTGGCCTGGAGCAGAAAAAGGATCGGCGTGGTTTTTGGTCAGCAAGAATTAGATGAGAGAAGGCATCAGATTATGCTCCTGAATAAGAAAAATCCCTATTAAAATTTTTATTTATTTTTACTTTGTCTATCGTGCATGGACTTTAATTTACATGTCTGAATAGTTGTTTAAAACAGTTCTTTTGTGCTTTTTTATTAAAAATTATAATTTTTAACAACGACAATATTGGTACTTTAAAGTAATTATACATTGTTACAAGATTATTTTCGCATTTCGCCGTGTCATTTAATATTTTCCTATTTTCTGTAATGTGTAAGGTTCCATAAAATATGCAGGTATACTAGTTGGTACAATCACTGCTCCGTATTTGTATGGATCTCTTATCATACCCGGTGAGGTGTAATAATATGATTGAAGCACCATTTTAGGACTGTAGCTTGGGTTCTTACATGAAAAATCTGTAGTAATCTTATAATTAACATGTATACTTTTATATTGACCTCCGTGTGGGTTAAAGTAATTGCGGTCTGCCCAAAGAGCAGCTCGTTCTGCCGCTTTTTTGTCAGGGCAACGATATACCACCGTCCATTTCGACTTATTCTTCCTGTACCAATCTTGCTTAGATAGCTGTCTGTTGTTATTTTCGATGCCTCTCTTCCAATTCTTACCGCCGCGCATTTCTATAACCCAGTAGTCAGTAACCATTAGCGCCGCGTGGCCCATGAACCCACCTCTACTTTTGCCCGAAATTAGGATGTCCCCTGTTTTAACTGTCTGTAGAAATTGTTTCCTATAGTAATCGTCACAATTTAATAAACAGCGCGCGATATCTTTTTTCATGAACAGTGACTCCTGAGTATCAGGCATTATACCGTAGTTGTTTATAACTAACCATTCTTGGTATGATGTTGGCTCATCTTGGTCGTCATATAATGCTAAAAAATCTTCGTAGGCAATCCTGAAGATGTCTCTATGATGTTGCGCGAATGACTCTAGTGGGTATTTATTGGGATCGATAATTCCCGCGTTAACTCCGAATTTGTAGACGGCCAGTGTCTCGTTCGATATCGTGGCATTCTGTCCTGGAAGCAATAAATTGTGGAACGCCATTTTATTGTTCATTCATTTTTATTTTTGGAACAAAAAGGTGACATATGAATGGTGTAGCAGCTATGTATCATTTTGTTTGGACGAAAGGCAGATGTGGCCATACAGTGACTCATATAATACGATGTTGTATATGTTATTCCCCAAATTGTAGCCAGAGAGGTGGCTAGGTAGGAACTTTATTCAAGTTCTGTTTTTTTTTTAATTCGTGCTTGGTTCAAAGTTCAAATAGCGATTTGTTACTTGCGAAAATAATTTTTTACAGGGTGGCCAGAGGTACTGTACCAACCATGCAGGCAACTTGACAACGCAAATATAACAGCCGAAAGATAACGGATGACAGTTTCATAATTAAAAATCGATTGATTGATTTTTCTATTGAATGTTTTATTCATACAAGTTTTATTTAACTTATAAAGAACTAGCTACTCGCGCGCGGTTTCACCCGCTGCTTGGCTCCATTTAATCGTAGCCTAATGTTTTATAGCTTAAGGCACTCAAGAACATTGTAGCTATCTAGCAGTGAAAGAATTTTGGAAATCCGACCAGAGGTTCCAAAGATTACCCCCCACATGCAAACTTACAAATTTTACCTCTTTATAATATTAGTATAGATATCGAACTAAACAGATAGAAAAGAATTGCGCTTTATGCCATAGTTGTCCGACAATGATAATAGTACATACTTTTTAAATAAAGATTGTTTTAATATTTTTATTTTTTAGTTCGATATTTTTTATAATCGTGTTTTTTTTAGTTTTTAATTTTGCATTTAAATTAAACCTATTTTTATTTGAGACCAACTTACCAAATGTTTCACCTCCAATGGAAGCAAGAACTGTTAAAAATACCACATTTATGTTCATTTTTGTTCACACCGGGTTCAGCTAATTACTTAATCTTGTATTTGTATTATTGTCGTATCAGTCAGTCCATAAACCGTTGTTTCATAGCTGAAAATATTATATTTTCATTTTAAATAATAACATTTATTAGACTCTTATTTTATAGTAATAAGATGAAATTCTATTGATTTCTATTTAAAATAAAAAGAAACTTATTAATACTTACAGAGGGTTCAATTTAAATTAATTTAACGGAAACTAAAAACACTTTATTTATAATTACTTTTTGAATCGTCATTCCATTTCTTTACCCTTAAATTATTAGTAGTTATAGTCCCTTTTATTCTACTTTATTGTTTCTGCCTAATTTCAGAATTGCGAGTGTGAATGATAATACCTACATAAAGAAAAATATTCAAAAATGTCAACACTTAATGAGTAAGATTAAAGTTTAAACTGAAACTAAATACTAATAATTAAATACTACTAGTATTATCTACCGTGCTAAATCGATTTAACTAAGCAACAAACATATTGCTCTAATCATAATTGAAAAAACGTATTAATTAATAATATAACTTGTATAAAATTGAAGCCAATCTCAGAAAATATAAAATATTTTATTTGTCTTGGTTTTTAAGGAAACATTTGGATTACATACAATTATCAAAAGGTAGATAAAGGTATTGAATTGAATACGTAAAAGAAGCCACTATCAGTCATAACAGTAATTAAAAGAATCTTAAGACAAAAACTTATTAGGGTCAAGAAGTTCTTAGTCTCTAAAAACAACGCAGAATAATTAAAAAAAAATGTAGCTATAGTAAAAAATTATAATGGCACACGTTTGAAATAGACGATGTTTCATATGTGTTAAGAAGAAATGAAAATTAAATTTAGAGGCTGATTTTTCAATAGTCAGATAAATGTTATCTAAGGAATAATATTGTTGCTGTCACCGTCTTATACAAACATTCTGACGCGACAGCAACATAATTTTTCCCCCGACAACTTTTATCTAACTATTGAAAAATCCGCCCTTAGTAAGGTATTTGAGTGATGATGAGTGAAAACTCCTTAACACGACAGACTTATTTATTAGTGAACTTATAATATAGGTTCATTAAAAACGAATTAAGATAGCATAATTTGATTATGTGAAAAGAATTTGACACAAAATATGAAGGAGGGAGGAGGAAAGTGAATTTGCCCTCGGTAACCCCAACCAGACAACGTCGGTCTTTTGTGAGACTTTGTGTCACTCCGGCCGAGCCAGCCCATAGTGGAAATGGTAATTGAACGTAAACTATTTAATTATTTACATATTTCTTACCTATACGAAGTTCTTCATTTAAACCATGAGAACTAACAGCGATTATGAGCACAAAAATGAATATCTGTCTTAACTCCATACTGATATCTTAGTTATCTGAACAATGACTCTGTGAATTATTACCTTTATATACAAAGTAATGAGGTGAGTTACAATGTATGCAAGTAAACAAGAGTACAATGTTCTAGATCAGGGGATGAGCTGGAGTCTTCCGGCTGTTGATGTTGGGTTATAAAAAGGTTTTATTTGGTTTTTATCTTTTTATTTAGGATCTGTTGAATACATAACTTTTAAAAGTAGAATATTATATAAATATTTATATTCAGCCGGGGTTGCGGGGTAAGTGCAATGAGGCACCGCGACCTCGGCCCAGAGCAGGAGAAGGAACAGGGGGGTTTTCCCCGCCCAACTCTAGATTTCTTTTTGGGATCTGGAAGTCATTTGATGATTTTCCCCTCACAAAAAAATAATATGTAATAAATATTTATAAGAAAATAAAAAACAATACAATATTAATATTTTCCTTTATTCACCAGTCCGTATGGAGCAAGGAAATAAGCTGGTATAGTGGTCGGGATGATTATTTTATTAAATGGATTCCTTATAACTGCTTTCTTACCGGTTCCGTAGTAATAGGCTTGAACGACAAGCTTGGAACAATAACTAGGGCTAATTGTTTTAAAGTCTGTCGTTAACCTGTAGGTTACATGCACGGTTTTTTTAATTCCACCTGAAGGGTTGTAGTATTTGTGGTCCGCCCACGTTGCAGCTTGTTTGGCGACCGCACTGTCTTTGCAACGGTACACAGTCGTCCACTCAGAAGCATGTTCATTAAACCATTTGTCCTTCTGAATTTGTCTATTATTGTTCGGAATTCCATTGTTCCATCCTTTTCCTCCGGGCATTTCCAAAACCCAGTTGTCCGTCGTCATAATCGCTGAATGACCTAATAATCCTCCAATGCCTCGGCCTGAGATCAAAATATCCCCTTTTTTTACCACACTCATAAAACGTCTTTTATTGTCTGCAGTGGAACGTTTGACGATTTTTCTTTGAAATAGTGACTCTTGTGTATCTAGCAATATCCCATAGTTGTTCACTATGAGCCAGTCCTGATAGTTTAGCGGTAAGCTTTCGTTGTGTGCAAGATATTCTTGGTAGACGTCTTTGAAGATGTCTTTTTCGTGTTGCGAGAAAGATTCAAGCGTGTATTTTTCGGGATTGATAATGCCCATTTGGATCCCAACATTGTAGAGGGCTGTTGTTTCATTTGATATCACGTTAGTGGGCTCTGGAAATAATGTAAAAACCATTACAACATTTTCATTATCGTACTTATAAGTTTTTTGATCATTTGATATAAATTTAAAAATAGAACGTATCAAAAGAATGGACGACAACGATAATTAAGTCATTGACTTTAAATGTTGGTGAATGGATAAAATTAGAAATTCTAAATAAAAAAAACAAAAGAAATAAATTGTAAAGATGTCAGGATAACTTTTTTAGGTAAAAATACGAGAGTTAATTTGTTATAGACATTTCTTACCTAAATTCTTTAGATCTTCACTCAAACTATAAGAAACAAAAGCAAATAAGAGCACAATTATGAATAATAATCTCAACTCCATACTGATAACTTGGTTATCTGAACAACGACTGTGTGAATGAATACTTTATATACGATTCGATAAACATGTGTAAGTAACATAAAGTGTTCTAGATCAGGGGATGTACTGAAATTATGAAAATTTCATAACACTTAGCCAAAGTCTTACTTCAGTGTAATATTGTGGACATCCTTATTGGTTTGTTGATATTATTTCGTAAAAATAGTGCGTTTATGAATTACTATAACTTCAAAGTCAAACTTATATTAAAAAATGCCGTGTGAGTGAGAGTACCGGAGGCCCACTCCTACCCCTCCCTCAATTCCTCACCAATCCCTAAATCTCCAAATCCCAAATCCCTAAAAATATGGTAACCCATTCGTAACTCCTCTGTTGCGGGTATCCATGGGTGGTGCTGATTGCTTACCACCAGGTAGTCCATCGGCTCGTTTGCCCACCTATCACATAAAAAAACAGCTCATCAAATAAAATTTTACTATAGTCCGTTGCAAGCGTGGTTTCCTTTGTGGTAGCTCTCCAATTGAGCCATCGCCAGCCTGCCATTCGAGTCGAATTATGGATTTCCACATGAAAAACATATTCGATAAGTCAGCATTGTCCTTTGACAACCACAAAATAAGCGCGTTGTTATTGGATTAAATGAATAAAAAAATATATTAAACCCCTTCATTTATTAGGCTACATACTTATATATGGTTATAAAATACGAAACTAGGATAAGTGGAGATGCCCATTAAAAACGACTTCCTTATAACTGATTTACAAGAGACCTGAACGACAATCTTGGAGCCTATGGTTTTGATATTTGAACTTTACCTGTGCATTATTTGTTCGGTTTTTTTGATCCACCTGAAGAATAAAAGAGTAGTTGTTGATCAAAAGCTCACATATCGGGAAGCGTAGCAATCCCAGTCTCACATATTATATAGACTATACTGCAAAGCTATAATAAAAAGCTAATACAGTCATAGGGATAACAGGACAGATTGACTGCACGGTTGGCGTGGTGGCTTCCGCGCACCGTGTCGCGGGTTGGATTCCCATATAGAACAACTCTTTTTGTGGTTCACAAGTTGTTGTTCCGAGTCTGAAATTGTATATTTGTAAACGCATCCACGATACAAGAGAAAGTCCTAGTGTAGTGTGGGGCAATGTTTATATTATGAAAAAAAGATTAATTTAATACCGATAATGTTCCCGGTAGACGGCTGAGAATTAAAAATATATTATTTATAAATAAGAAAAGGTTTTTAAATAATTTGGTTTATTTTACTTAAATCATTGAGTATATAGGGACGGAACTGTTCCTATGCATATAAAAAAGGATATATTTCTTTCCTTATCTTTTTGTTTTAACTTGCCCTATCTTTTTGTTTCGTTTCTGCAATATTCTTAGATAAAAGAAATAACCAGGTTCAAGTCAACAATGTTTCGCAAAATTAATAATGATTTATATTTTAGTGTTTTCATATTTCAATGGATTCTAAGTTAATTCAATGTTTGACGTCATTTAGTCACGTCAGATTAGGCTAAGTAATAAAATAGTCTTGACTTTAAGAAGATTTCGAATACATGTTATAATATTGTATTTACAAATATTTATTCTCTTAATTATATTAACAGGTTTATATTTATTTATATCATGATATAAATGTGATGGTACATGATAATAATGTATCAATATAAGTGTTCTTCTAGTCAAAAGCGAGAGGAAAATTATTGTGGAATTATCTACTGGCATACCAAGGACAATATAGGTATATCATTTAAATAACGATGTTAAGTAGCACTTGCAATTACTTCTACATATAGTATAATTATGAATGGGTATTCATAAATTAACCTTATTACGAAAAATGGCAAGGATTTTATCTATAAATTATATATGTACAAACAACAATAATGAGATTGATAAAGGTTGTATGAAAACACATTAAAGTAAGTACGTTTTAGGAGCACGTGCGAAAGAAATTATTAAGCTGAACCAAGCTTAATAGTTTCTAGTGTGTATGGGTCGTCTCGAGTGATATCACGATATCACAGAACAACTACAGCTTTGTGTTTCGCTGTATGAGTGGGGTTACCAGGGGCCCGATCCTTCCCCCCAACCCCTCGCCAATCCCTAAATCCCCAATACCCTTATCCTAAACGGTCAGCAACTCATTCTGAGCTACTTCTTTGTTGCGTGTGTCCATTGGCGGCGCTGATTGCTTACCATCAGGTAATCCGTCAGCTCACCGTCATATAACATAAAAAACCTTAAGAAAGCCAACAACATTGATACGTGATCTAAACTGTCAATAAATGTATACGTAATTACAAACTATTTCAACATAATCATGAATCATTAATTATCATGTATTTGTGCATATAAACAGCTATATATATAACTAACTAATCACCTCCCTAAAATGTGTCATGGCATTGTGAAGTCCGATTTACGTAGAAACTGCGTTGTATGCTGTACATCCCCTGTTTTGTAATCTCGAGTGGATTTCCTAATTGTAAGTGTATGTGTATATAAAATGTGGCGAAACAGGTAATTAATTACATTCAAAGACACACTTCATCATGGAGTACACTCAGGTGTTTTGTGTGGTCCTGTTGGCGATAGGATGTCAAGGCATGTCCTTGACTGACAGCATCGATTTCGGTAAGATTTATTTTTGTATATTTTTTTGGAGTTTATACGATTTTTGTTTTCTTCCGTAAGGATTTCAATAGTAGTTAAAATCCTAGAAAAATATTTGCTTATTTTAACTTTTCTGGAAATCTGTTTGGTGAAAAATATTTATAATATTTTGCTATTTCCAGGACCAACAGAAGTGATTTCAAATGAAACGGCAGCACTGTACAACCACGGGGTCGACATGGGGATCATCGACCCTAAAAAATATTCTCTCGAATCATTTGCTCACGATGAGACCCACGTCTTTAAGGACACTTACAACGAATACGTGTCAATGAATGGCAGCTATCCACTGGATTACCAGGAATGGCTCATCATGAACAACTATGGGATATTGCCAGATACTAACGAATCTATGTTCCAAAGAAAAATTAGTAAACGCAGCACAGCTGACAACAAAAGAGCTTTTGTAAATACGGTGAAGAAAGGAGATATTTTGATCTCCGGCCGAGGAACTGGAGGACTCTTAGGTCACGCAGCAATCATGACCTCAGATTACTGGGTCCTAGAAATGCCTGGCGGTGATGGCTTTATGTCAGGCATTAGGGATAATAACAGACAGATTCCTAAAGACAAATGGTTTGATGAACATGCTTCTGACTGGACCACAGTCTACCGTTGTCCTGATAACTCAGTCGCTCGTCAAGCTGCAGGTTGGGCTGATAGGAACTACTACAATCCCAATGGTGGAGCCACGAAAACCATCCACGTAACTTACAAGATCACTGCTGACTTTACTTCCAAGAATCCAAGCTATTGTTCCAAGCTGGTCGTTCAAGCCTACTACTACGGTACGGGTTCGAAGAGTGTTATCTACATCAGAGACAAATCTAATGCCATTATCATTCCTACTACCATTCCGTCGTACTTCAGATCTCCGTATCTATTGGTAAACAAAGGAAAATATTAATTAGGCTGTGATATCTTTTTACTGACTGACTGTCCTGGTCCGAAATTAAGCACATAGCCCAAGATAGGTCCAAATGGAAAAATACTGTGGAAGCCCTCTGCCCCACCTAGGGGATATAGGAACTTAATAATAATCTTTTTACAGTCATTCTTATTATTGCTCATTTTTGCATTTATTATTTTTAGAAGAAAGTTTTTTGTATTAGCTTGATAAGATTTATTTAAATTTTATATCTTATTATTTATAAATAAATATATTTAAATTGACCTTTTCTTTTCACTTAATATCAAATTGGCTATTCCTCTAATCCAAAAATATCCTTTTCTAGGTCAATAAACAGTTTAATCATTTGCGAAAACTCTTTGAGATGCATTCAAATGCCTAGAAGTCGGAAAAACTAGACCTCTTCATTATTATTAACTTACTCTCCAATAAATAATTTAAATAACATGAACTCAAAATTAAACTATTAGACTTGATATTGGTTATTCGTGAAATGCAAATACAAATCTTCGACAATCCCAACTACTTGATGGTCGTCAATCTTCAGAATTTAATTAATTTGTTTAAACAAATTGTCGGAAGCTATTTTGGTTATCCCAAAGGGTCTAAACTGTTTGCGGGAATCGTCAATTTCCTTAATTGTGTATTTAAAATGTCAGAAATTATCCAATTGTATAGTGCAGTGACGTAACTGTGCCAATTGTCTTACAATTTTTATGTGATAGGTTGACAAATGAGAGTACGGATAACCTGATGGTAAGCAACCAGCGCCGCCATGGACACCCGCTAGAACGGAGGAGTTACGAGTGCGTTGCCGGCCTCTTAAGGATTAGGGTTTCGAGGATTTAGGGATTGGGGAGACTCACGCGGCGAAACACAACGCTGTAGTTGTTTCACACCCGTTTTCTATGAGACCGTGATATTACTCTGGTCGAGCCGACCTATTCGTGCCGAAGCAAGGCTCTCCCACACTAGGAAAAATGACGGATTGACCGACAGGGCTATACCGTTTATCCATGCTATCATCATCATCAACGTTTCTAGAACAGTTGGAAAAAGACAATTTGAAAAACCTTTCATTTTAGTTATTGTTTTGAGTTGGTACATAGTAACTAAAGCTTTTTAGTAAAACGGCTTATATGGAAGAGAAAATTAAAGGAGAAAAAGAAATTTTGAATGTTTCTCTCTTTTCTCATTTCACTTATCATAAAGAGAAGTGAATAATTCAATACTCGTTTTTGTTTTTATTTGCTATTAGAGAACATCACTTTGTAGTTTCGCAGATATAATTGGAAAAGAAAAACATATTAAAAGGGCAAAAATCTAAATTAAAAACAAGCACATATGGATTTAAGAAAAATTTTAATATTGAAAATGTTAACCTTTTATTTCATTTTTGGCCGAGCATTAATAATACAAGTATAGAAATAAATATAGGATTTAAAATTGCACGTTATTATCGCACACATTGGCATCCATTGAACGTGCAGTATCCCCCTGACTTGTAACCCCTCCGTCTGCAGCTAGCACTGCACTCGTAAAATACGCAACGGTTGGGAAATTCTGGACCTCGTATCGTTTCTCTTTTTGCAATGTAAGATGCCTCTGTAAATAATGAAATATTAATGGTTTTAAATAAAGAAATTGGTAAAAATAAACATTAAATTTCGTTAGTATATATTTAATTCACTTAAATTGTAATTCAATGTTTTATTTAAAAACTACAGTGGATACTAAGCATATTTTGATTATTTTAGTAAGAAAACATAAATAGAAAGATCACGGGTAGGTGGAGCAACGGTGGACAACCCTGAAACAATATCGCATGTTTAAAAGAAACAAGAGGGAATTTCAAAATTAAACCTTATTATTGAATTATACATTTTAAGATTCAAATGCTTTCGTTTTTTAGTTAGGCCTCTTTTCTATTAAGCATACCGATACCTTATTTAGCAAACCAGCTAACTCCAAATTTCGTCAAAAAATAGATAACTCCTAAACACGCTTTAGTTTTGTGAAGAAAATTTATAAAAGATCTCACAGTTTTAAAAATAAGATTTTAGGTTAATATCTTTCAATTGTACGGTATTTTAAGTTTCTTTGTAAGTAATATACAAAAATATTAAGGAGATTATTTCATCATTATCAGCCTATAAGTGCCCACTGCTGAGCTAAGGCCTCTTCTCATACGGAGAAGGTTAGAGCATTAATCACCACGCTTGCTCAATGCGGGTTGGCGATTTCAAAATTATAATTAGAAATTATAAGTTCAGGTTTCCTCACGATGTTTACCTTCACCGTATGTCAGAGGTGTCTAACTAATCATAGAAAGTGCATAATTATAACTCGGAAAAAGTCACATTGGTACTTGCCAGGCTTCGAACCCACCACGACCATCCAATAAGGAGATTATTTATTGTCTCTAAAAAAATCTCTCAAGGAGTTAGCTGATGTTAGTTGGCAAGTTTATGTATTAGAGTAGTATAGATTAAAATATTGGGTCAAACAAACTCCAATTATTGTACTCGACAGTTGTACATATGATCATTCGACAGAATGGATGCAGTAATAAGATAAACTTCACAAACCTGTATGTCCTAAATCAGCGCCGGAGGTCGCTACCGCAAAAGCGACGAGGAGCAAAGCAAGATCTACGCAAGCCTTCATGACTGAAACCTTTCAAAGTGTGAGGAACTTTCCAAGCTCCACCTTATTTATACTAACTCAGACCCACATATAACTTCACCCAAACTATACCACCAGATCGATAAACAACACGACCAAATCTAAACTAATTTCTCTTAAACATACATCGCTGCTAAACTATTCCCGTAACGTGTTTACAGTCGTGTTCAGAAGGAAATGGATACCGCAGAAACAGTCCCGTGCAATCAGTCGCTTCGTACTATATGCTAGCACATTAATATTGTATGTGGAGGGAATACCCTGAGTCAATTGCTACGGCACAGAATTGCAAGTGATACATTCCGTATTCGTCATTCAATTTACCACTATATCAGAACGAGATTAAAGTTGATTATCCTTTGTTTGTATGAATCTTTAAACAGGGTGATGTTTATTTGGTATTGCGAACAGTTATCATTGTAGGTTCTTGTTATCTGTGGGTAAGAGGTAAATATTCAGTAAACAGTGTTTGTCATTTGTTTTCCTGTTCATTTTTTGTTTGACATTGCATTATTGGAGGTTTTCAGTGAGCTAAACATACATGCAGTATGTCATTTCTTATCTAACTGTATTATAGTTACAGTCTTTAAGGAAATACTGATATTTTTATACGTATAAGTAAATCGGTCAACTATCGTATGAAATCCTCATTTTATGGATCCATTTCATCTTTTAATTGCTGCATGAGAAAGTGAATGAACTTTTTCTGTCTCAGATTGGTTGAGGTTATTTTTTTAATGAATTGTTGAGGTTATTATTGCCGTTGTACTTGTCTAGATTTTTATAAGGCTTATAGTGCTTAGTTTTGAGTTTACATTCCGGTTTTAAGTGTGCTACACTAATACATTTTTACTTACGACTTTATATCGTCACGCCTGTCTTCATGACACGATTTTGAGCAGAAAAACGTCACTATTCTCACACACCTCTTTTTTTTATTGATTCGAATGAGCAGAGGTGTGTTGCCAGTATTACGCCTTGTGGTAAACGATGATGCTACTTATCATTGAGCACGCCTACTCTATAAGTAGACTTTCGCTTCTTCTTTATTCATTTATCTCTCTATGCATGCATTTTCAAAATATTGTCACATTAGTTGAAAATGTCTGTGTAAGACGTCCCCTACCAGCTACCAGCCACCACAACCATGCTCGCTCGATAAATCACTTTAAACTTAAGCAACTTACCTCTTGAGACATCAAGATCTTGAGAGTAGATAATACGTATCACAAACTCAAAAAAAAAAACACCAATATTACACACGTACCTGATAGCGTCTGGAATTAAATTTCTGCATTAATTTTGTTAGTTTTTTTTATACTATGATTTGTTATAGTATCTTCCAAACATAATAAATCCAACTGACCGACTATTGAATCTGTTTGTTTAGTGAAAGACAATATTGTATGGGCTCAATGTCTGTAGTCCTGTCGAGGGTCATGGGATTGGATAAACTTGATTTAGTATTAATAGCTAACTTTCTAACCAAGCAAAGGAGTTCCTGGTTGTATTGTGAGCTTCTTGAGTTTATAGGTAAGTAACAAAGTGTAATTGTAAAGGAAGTTAGAGACATTAGTTAAGAGGCCCTAAAACATTAAGAGTTACAGTCAGCGAAGCAGACATATAATGTACAATACATATTGAATTAATTTGTTGATATTCAATGATTTTGTTGATATTACCTGATGATATTCTTCTATGGCAATAAGAGCCGTCCATGGACAGATGGACACCCGCTACAACAGAAGAGTTACGAGGGCCTGGCTGGATTTTTCGAGATTTGGAGATTAGGGACGGAGAAATATTGGGCTTCCGACAACCTCACTCATACGGCTGTGGTTGTTTCATGCTGATGGATTCACTACTGTCGCACAGACCTATTCGTGTCGAAGCTTGACTATCCCGTACTATTTTTCAGTGTAGGTACTTTCTATCGTTCGTGTTTGAGGATAATTCGTAAACGTCAAAACTACAAAGAACAACAACAAAAAAAAGGAGATGAACGCAGCCATTTATATTATTAATTATATTACTGTCAAAATTGGATTGCAAACAGTTTATCTGAATCGAATTAATGTCTGGGAAAAGCTAGCTTAGTATTTTCATTTGTTCTTTTCCATTCATTTTCACCCATCCTTTCGAAGACTAATAAAATCAGTTAACCAGGACATCATGATAATCTATTGTGTATTGTAAGCAGTTGGAATAAATGCAACTCATTTTCTTTGTTCCAAGGGTCGCCCGTCACTGAGAATCTAAAACATTATTATTAACTTATACTATCATTATTCAGTTTGCTTTGTTCAGTGAATTTT